CGATCAGCTGTTCGGTGGCTCCAAAATGGCTGCCGGACGCCCCAATCGTCGCAAAGCGAGTGCGGCGATTGGGGCAGATCCGTATAGCGATCCCCAAAAAGGGATCGCTATACGGATTCTTCGTTAAATGGTGCGCTCGTTAAGCGAGGCACCACTGTAGTAGTGATTTATCAAGTTGAACACTGTTATAATATGATAGGAGGTTAATGAAGTGTTCATAGTGAAAAAAGTCTGATAAACAAGTCTGAGAAATCAATCAGAGCAGGTGCCTAATACTTATCCAAACACTCTTCAAGCAACAACAGAAATGTCTGCTCTAAAATTAGTAGTGATCCTAAAGTCATGCTATATCATAAACATACAGAAACTGAAAAACAGAAATACATACTCTCTTTTCTATCTCAAGCATACTGGACCGGTCAGATGATTTTTCCTGTTTCTGCTGTATAAATAAAAACAATACCATTTGTATTGAATAGTAAAAAGAAATAATTCCAAAGAAAGCAAAATGGGTAAAATCATGTCGCATAAGTTTGTGCCTTGTGTAACCTGGATTGGTGCTGGAAACATGATTTATATTAATTAAAAGCTTTCCATCCCATTTTATCTTTTGCCTGGGGAAACCTTTGGGAGTCTCAGGATGTGTGTCCGTGTGTGTGTGTCCGTGTGTGTGTGTGTGTGGGGGGGGGTTAAAACTGAAAAATATCTCAAATTATTGCTGCTGGGTTCAGAAATGCCACTGTCAATTTGGCAGCGATTTCTGATTTTTAAAGGCTTTCTCCACCCTATTTCAAGGTTTGCCAAGGCTTCCACAGGGCAAAAGAGAGTCCTACGGAGCCTCAGAACCTAAGGTGAGGGGAGAGGAAGCTTTTAATTAAATGAAATGTTCCTGGTGCTCAATCCATGTTCCATCAGGCACAAAGTTATGCAATAGAATTTTGCTCATTGTTTATTAAAACACAAAGTAGATTAAAGTTATTTGCTCAATCCCCCCACCCCTTGTTTGTCTGAGCGACAGTCCTCCTGACATGCCACTGACTTCTCATTACAAAAGTCAACAAAATTTTGATTCTGCTGGTTGCATTATCAGTACAATATTTGTTTTCAGTGTCTGTTTACCTGGGCTAATTTATCCATTTTTGTCTTGACTTCAGTAAGTTCCAACTGGGCATCTTGTAGTTTTGATTTCAATTTTTGATTTTCAGCCAGGGCACTTTCATAGAGCTAAAGGAGGAAAATGTAAAACAACTAAACTTGCATCAAGTAAGACTACAAATACTAAAACTTTTAACAGATGAGGATGACAACTGCCAAACCTACTACTGTCGGACCACAAAACCAGGAAGTTTTTCTGCAGCTGTATTAACTAGCAATTAATACCAGCACATAACCTTTACTGCAAAGCTTAGAAGGCATTACAAAAGAAAGCAAAAAAAATCTACACATATAGTCCTGTTCCTCACATACCTTTTAAACTCCAGCCAGGGAACCCAGGGCAGGGATTCCTTGGAAGGTGATTAGGGATTCTTCATTAAATGTGATGGCCAACATTAAATGAGATAACAGCTCGATTACACTACTAGATCATCCTTGATTCTGCACGGCACAACTTCATAATACCTAGGCACAATCTGTTCAGTTCACATGGGACAAAAGAAGACACTCCCAAAGTCTTTCTAGAACAGATGTAAGTAGATGTCAGGCTTACAGGATCTAGATACGTTTTTACTAGAACCTGATTTTTATGAATCAGAAACTGATGAACCATATAAAAACCATATAAGAACCATTAAAAAATTCTGAAGTAATAATTTGTTCTGCATAGCAGGAGGAAAACAGCAAAAAACTATTCACCCAAATTGTCTTTACTTCAGTAATATATTTTAAGGAGAAAGGAAAATTATTTTATTTTCACCTTTAGAGATGGGCACCACCTATCACTTTGCGCTGGTTCGTTTATCAGCCAGACAGGTTTTCGGGACTACAAAACCCCATCTCCTCTGACAGGCATCCACTCAGTGGCAGCACCCATAGGTGGGGCAGGGAAGTCCGGGCACTGCCTTCAAATGAACATCTGCCAGAGGAGGTAGAGCTTTGAAGCGCCTAACACTTGTTTGGCCAATAAACAAACAGGCACAAACCAGCAGTTCATTCCATCTCTAGTCACCATTATTACACAAGCAAGAGTCAGAATTTTTTAGTGATCCATGGCAAACAATCCAAATGCATCAGGGTATATAGTCATAGAACACCCTCTAAATCAGGCTTGTCCAACCTGCGGCCCGAGGGCCGCATGCGGCCCAGGTCAGCTCATAATGCGGCCCAGTGCAATTTTTTATTTTAAAAGAAATTCCAAAGTTTCAAGTTACACTGCTGGCACTTGCGGCCAGAATGCAGCTGGGGCACGTCACAACGAGGGGAAAGAGGGAAGGAAGGAAGGAGCGGGAGGGGAGGGGAGAGGGGGCTGCGTGACTGCATTGCGCCATCCCTGTCTATAGGTAGACCGCCTCCCGGCCCCATAAAGCCACCAGAGTCGAAGCTGGCAGCCTCTGCTGTCTGAGATCGCAGCTGCCGGTAAGCACGCTTGGAGCGGGGCTGCAGAGGATGGCTAGGGCTGCCCCCCCCATGCGGCCCAAACCAAATTTATGTGCGGCCCAAACCAAATTTTCATCTTCTAATGTGGCCCAGGGAAGGTGAAAGGTTGGACACCCCTGCTCTAAATGTTCTGTCATGCATAAGAGTTCCACATATGCGGAAAGAATTCCATGAAAGGATGACAACTTCTACCCTATTATTCTGAGTAATCCTGATCTACAGTAATACATAGCACTCTGCATGTAATTTAGTTTTAGCTTATTTCCCAATGTAACTGCTCAAATATAACTGATCCTCCTAAAGAAACAAAGAATACAAAATAAAACAAAATCTATGCAAGAAGCTGAGAAATATCATGAAAAGTCTTCCAGAGCTCATTCTGCATCATGTTCAAGTATTGTAGTGCAACAGTTTCCTAATTTACACAGAGGGAACTGTAATGAAGAGAGTGGTCTGCTCAAGGTATTCATCAAATTCTATGGAGCATATAAAGGGAAGGGACATCAGTGTACCAATTTAGGATTCTACTGAATTCTCTCAATTCTTTTTATTCAGCTAATGATTCATCAGAGGTGGCCTATACTCTAGGTGGAGGGTGACCTGCTACAGACCCAGGCTGCCAGTTTGTTTAAAATTCTCATTTTGACTAACTTAAGTTTTTTCAATTGACATCTATTACTTTAAAACCAACGTTCCCTATAGTTTTGTATTTTGTGTACATTTGGAAGCCTCTATAATTATTTCTTCTCTTGGAACTACCAACAACCCAAGAAATCCTGCTTAAGTTACTGAGAGAGAAGTAAGAGAAAAGGAAGAAAGAAGAGTTCAAGAATTCCTACATCCACTACTCACATTTTTGTAATCTTTGCTGATGTCCTCCTCTGTTTTGCTGCTGAGAGCAGCCAGACGATTCTCTCTTCTGGTATATGCACTGCTGCGCCCTGAGGGCCGATCACTGTAGGAATCACTGGTTCCAGTGCTTGAACTTGCTGCATCCAACCTGAAGTTGCAAAGCTAAACTGTAAAATCAGCTAATAACGGGGGGGGGGGAATAAGATCAAAGAAAGATAGAAGAGATATGCTTAAGGGAAAAAAATCATCCTCTCTTCTGACCTAGCGCTACTAGCTCCGTTCATATATTGTATATTTTTCAGTTTTATTCAGACACGAGCAAGGAAGGGAAGCACTCTATGCCTGCCCCTCTATCCCCTGTTTTGTTGCTCTTGACCACATGCAAGGTGCCTACTCTGAAAGGGAGAATTTCTGGGAAATCTCAACATGAACCAGAATCTTGGTTTTCAAAGGTTTTGATTCATATGGAGAGCATCCACAGACTGAGGCTGCTATTACACTGACAAAGCTAAATCATAGTGATTCCGTGTTGCTGCGGCTTGATTTGCAGCCTATTTTTAGTTCAGATTAGGTGACTGTGGATTGTTCTGGTGCCACTGTTCACACTGGCCCCTCAAACTGATACAATCCAATCCATGCCACAGGCCCCCTCCCTTTGATATTGCCCTCAGGTGATCCCCAACTCTCTCTTTGCATTTCATTCTAAAGTGATTTGGGAGAAAGATCATGCAGGTGGATATTCTTGCTCCAAAACACCATGCCTGGCCTAGTGTCTCACCAGAAAACCACCCACAATCATGTCCCCCATCCTTTTGGAGAACGAAACAATTTAGCATGCAGGGAGAAGTCTGTTTGAAACATTCCAGGTTGAAAAAAGTAGAAGCAGGAGAAAAGAAAAAAAAAAGAACCCTGCATGTTGGGAGCAAAAAGGGCCAGACTGAATCAAATTGACTTTGCATCACATGATCAGTAAAACAATGTAAATTCTTCTATTCTACACCTGCAGAAAATTCCACGGCATTTGACTGTGTAATCGCTGTCTGAGAAGTTCATCAATCCCTCTACACATGGAGGAGGAACTGGGAATGGAGGTTACAGGACTACAGTGCTTCCTACCTAGGTTGATGAACAAATTTAGATAATGTCAAAATAGGGTCTACTGTTCAGGGGAACATGATGGAGATAAGAAATCTTCATTCAAAAGCAAACATTTAACTTGTTTAATCACTCCTTGTCAATACGAATTTGATTCTGGGAAATAATAAAAGATTTCAGATTAAAGACATACCTGTTAAATCACTATCAGTCTTGAAAGAGGTTATCAGAAGTCTTAGTTTTAAATATGAGGAAATGTTTTTTCTTCAAAATGCTGCAAATTTTTAAAAAACCATGAATCTACATTTTTAACAAAAGCATGCATTTTGATTCTCTTACCTGGAAAGTCTTTCATGCTATAAAAAGAAAACAAGAGAGAATGGTTAGCAACTAAACATACAATGTTAACATTCTAGTTGTACAGGGAAAGCCATTAAGTCTGATAATTGCGAAGCAAATGATGAGTTATCACATCAAGAACTGAAGAGCATGAAGTTGCTAGATCTTGCCTGTAATCTAACTGAAAATTTTAAATGAACTTTAAAATACTGAAACAAAATCCAATCATGGTCTCAGATATTTATGATACCTGGTTTTATATTAGGGTGACCTTAATTACTGACCTAGTTACAGTACTTAGATTTTTATATCGTGCCCAACTGGAAAATACACTTGGAGTGGTTTCTAAAGACAAAACTGATTTACTGATCTTGGTACATAACATATATAATAATTTGGTTCTGTGAAATATGTGTTGTTGATTGAAGCCACTGTGAATATGAGTTTTTATTCATACATGGATAAAAGTAGTAAATGTATTCTTATTTATTTAGGCAATTATCTCAATAAGCATAACAAATCTGCTCATATCCCCTCTCTCTCTCTGTCTCTCTCTGTCTCTCTCTCTCTCTCTCTCACACAAATGCGAGTCTTGACAACCTAGCAGTTTGAAAGCATGTAAATGCGAGTAGATAAATAGGTACCACCATGGTGGGAAGGTAACGGCGTTCTGTGTCTAGTCACGCTGGCCATGTGACCATGGAAATTGTCTTCGGACAAATGCTGGCTCTATGGCTTGGAAATGGGGATGAACACTGCCCCCTAGAGTTGGACATGACTGGACTAAATGTCAAGGGGAACCTTTACCTATTCCACGTTGTCTGCCATCATCATCTTTAAAGGAACTGTGTAACAGGCTGCACAGCTAAAATTGGGATGTGTATGCTAGAAATGCATACCTGTGTAAGTTAATGTTAATTTGTGACCTTATAAGAAGAAACTGAAAGTGCATTTTTCGTAGGCAAATTTCACCAAGCATAACTTGCCTTTAAATATAATGCACCAGGAATGAAATGCTTACAACAAAATGAAATGAAGGTGTGACCTAAAATCCCTTTGGAGCCTATGTCAAGGCAAAGTTTACAGGCAAAGGGCTACTAAAGCTTGTGTTCAATTTTAAAATATTCAGAAAACACTGGGGATGTTAGACAGCAATACATACTATCAGTTTTAATCTGCTAAAGGTAATGTGAAAGGAATAACAGGTAAACCACACACACCCAGCAAACAAAACATGACAAAATATTAATTCTAACCACATATTTTTTGAAGTTTCACTGAAGCAGTGAGATCTAATAACTGGTGCACTGTCAAGTTGTCCAGTAAATATGTACTTAGTAAGTTACAGGAAGTGATTTGACATTTCAGATGTTGTTCTTGGGAAAGCTTAAACTTTTTCCAGTACAATACTCGGAATTTTTGGATCTACTTGTTTGTGTTCCACATTATCCAAGATTGCATTATTAAGTTTATTAAAATTGAGGTTGGGATGAGAGTCAACTTTCTTGGAGCAGCTGCGTTTTGAAGAAAAAGGCAGGCCCTTGACATTATAACAGCTGCTGGTAATGGCTGCATTTTGATTATACTTCCAAAGCAATTCCCATCATAAAAACCAGCAAAATTAGCTGCAAGTATCTTGGAGGGTGAAAGGGGAAGAAAGACAAATGACTCAGATATTTTGATTTTTTTTAAAAGGAAATCCTTAAAAGAAACTTATATTTAACAAATTCCAAGAACCATTGTGAATCTCACTGTATAGAATCAGCACAAACCAAGATTTCTGTTCTCAGAATACTACAGCAAAAGCAATATCTAAACTTACAGGATGAGTAGAATGCTTTACACAAATATTTACATATACCTTTAAAAAAACCAGACACACACACAGATATGAAAATACTTCATATTCTTCTTGCTCATGAGCAACATCCCCTCTCTATTGCTCTTCTATGACATGCTGCTCTGTTCTCCATAGAAATGTCACATATTTTTTCTAATGGGGCAAAGTCTGGCTGGGCCTCAGAGTTGCTGTACCATTCTTTCCAGTGAGTAAAAGCAACTTATATGTGCTGCAAGTATATATTTCTTAATCTTCAGCCTAAAGGTTGAAATGGCACAGATGTCACAACTCACAACAGTTTCTCCTTAATCTTTTGTGTCTCTCCATCCCGTATAGGGAGTGACACAGCACTTTTGGTCTTCTCCTAAAACTCCCTGTGGGGGGAGGGAATTCTGGTTGTTTGCCTTCACCGTTCACCCCCTAGCTTGATGGAGATTGCACGGTATGGCTATACTGCCACACTGTCCCGGTCCACTCCTCAGATAGTCGCTCTACTCCTCTGCCATTTTAGACTGTAAGATGGGGAGACACAAAGAAGGCACTAGAGGCAAGAGAACCTATCAATCTGGACCATTTTTCTCCATCCCCTGGCATGCAACTCCCTTTCTGTCATGGTCCCTCTTAGGTGGTGTTACCCCACAGTGCTGTGCACCCCAAATAGCTGTCACCATCCCCATCACAAAATCCTAGTAACCTAGCAAGGCTACAACATTGGAAGTTCCAAAATCAAATCCAACCAACAGCTGGGTATGATTTTATGTATTATATTTTTAAAAAGAGAAGGATTAAGCAAAAAGGGATAAAATGGTCACAAAAAGTCAAAAGGTGAAAGTTACTCAAAAGATCCTTGGTTAAAATAGAACAAGGTTACAGCAAGTTACGAAATCAGTCTTGGATCATCTCAAAGAAGGTACACAGTTAAAAAAACAAAATTCTAGCTAACCCAACTCTCTTACTTATTCCTGATGCATACTGTTACCTGAATGGGGTCTCTTCAAGTGTAAGCCAATTCGTTCCCAAGCAAGGAAGTTCACCACATGAGCACACTAAGTTTTCTTATTTTATTTTACTTCTAAACTACTCGACTTAGTAAGACACTACTTGGGGCAGTTTACATAATTCAGCAGAACATACAAACTAAAATATTAAAAGAATGAGTACATAATAGTACAAACTAAACAAAACCAGGAACAGGAAGGTGACCGAGGGTTGCCACCTGGTGGCTTAGGTGAACCAAAATTTATAAATCATAACATACTGTAGTAAACAAAATATCCAATAATAAAATAATAACTGCAATAGCATATGGATCTCAAAAATTAACCTAGGATGTTGCCAAAGACCTCCTTCAATAATTTGCTTTTTACTGATCTTCTAAAGATCTGTAGCGAGGGGGCTTGTCTAATTTCTGGTGGAAGTTTATTCCACAGTGAGGATGCCACTACAGAAAAAGCCTGAGTGCTAGTATTGTTTTTCCTTATTTGCTGTGTGATGGCACCATCAATAGTGCAGCTATTGGATGGATGGGTAGATACCTGGCGGAGAGGCACTCCAATAGGTAACAAGGTCCTCTTGATTCCTCAAAGCTCTCAGGCTTACTTTATACTAAACAATGTTTTTTCTTACAGATGTCTTAATCATCTGTCATTGCTGCTAATCCCTTTCAAGTGCCTCTAGGCATTCTGGCCATTTTTTCCTGGCAAGTACAGTTGACAGAGGGCACTTCAAATGTTTGATTTATTTCCTTTGTTCTCCCCTGTCCTTCCCAGCACCCATCTGTTCCCAGGTTAATATACTGCCCCTGACCATGCTGTCATGTGGCCCATTTCCCCCAATTCCTTCACAGTGGGCCTGATGACAGGTTGGCATGAAGACACAGGGAGGGAGTGCAAGGTCCAAGGTGGAAGTAAGTAAGTGGGGTCGGGGTCTGAGGCAAGCTGGCAGAACTTTGGTGGTGATCCCTCTCAACAGATTGTAACGGAGAAGAGGTGGCAGAGGAAACAAAGCCTATCTGTTTTGGAAAGTACTGGACTGGGGAATGCATTCAAATCCAACCCGCTAAAGGGAAAGGACACAACAGAGGTGCACTGCTCTTCAGCCCACTACCAATGCCAAATCCCTGGAGGCTGAGATGACCAACTGGGCACCATAGCTCCGCATCTCAATCCAGAGTAGGAACTGGTAGAGGAAATGGCAGAAGGAATGCCTTTGGCAGAGTCACTAGGGGAAGGATGGACTTCAGAGCTTATGAGTGCTCGGCATTATAGGCCCTCCTTAAAAGGTGTCAGTTGGCTGGGATCAGTGTGGAAAACTAGACCCTAGCCATGGATTGTGGGCTGTACTGGCCCAGTGAAGGGAATTAGGACCTAGTTAGGACCTGAAAGCAGTGTGGGGCTAGTGGAGTTACTCATCCCCCTTGTTGACTATCGGGATGGGGTGCAACAGGCATCCAACCAGTCCTTTTACCTCATTCCCCCACTTTAATAAAAACAAATTTAAGCAGGAATGAGAGTCTTGCTTTCATGAATTCCATGGTCAAAGAAGTCCTCCCTTACACTCTCAGTCAGGGTGGGGGGCCAACTGTATTCCCCCACTGAATGTAGAATCACAGCACAAGGATTCTATGTTCACAGGCTTACAGGGACTGTGAGTGAAACCACAGACTTGGCAGCTGCTAGTTCACCTTGTACTGAAGTCTAGCCCCTTCCCATTACCCTCATAACTTCATATTCTTATTTTGTGTTGTGGAAGAGATGGGCAGAAGATCAAAAGAAGGGAATCCATTTAAAGAGCAACAATGATTTAAACCATAGAAGGGTATTTAAAAGATCCCCAGAGACAATTACTCCAAACTGGGTCAGCTGACCCAACTGTGAACCTGTAGCGGCAGATAGTAAAATGAACAGAAAGATCACATAAAACTGCACTCCTACACGTTTCTGATTTCTCTATGCACATTTCACTTTGTTTTTAATAAAGATGAACAGAGCTAGGTACTGGAAATTATTCTGTGAAGTTGGACAACAAGAAGATTGTAAACAGCCAGAAAAAAACATACAGTTTTGATTTTAGATATGTGTAGAATTATTGAACATTAAAGCACTACTTTTAAAACTCCAAAGCTTCTGCAGATGGCATAAGTGTAATTAAAACCATGTTGCTTAAAGAAAGTTTTTA